CTAACATTTTCCTCCTGCTCCCTCCTGTGAACTTCTGGGCTTCGGCTTTTAGAAGCGGGCTGAAGTAGTGTTGGCACTTGCCGGCCGCTGCCGCTCACTGGAGCTCAGTGGAGATCTTCATCATCCTCCATGGAGATGTCATGTTTGAGTCCCTTCCAGCTGCCCGGCAACCCGGTTCCCGTATCCACGCCGTCCTCCCCTCCCTCTTTCCGCTGGCTGTGGGGCTCCACCAAATTCTTCTTGGCCGGGAATTTCCCATGGTGAGTCTCGAGCTGGAGGTGGGTTTCCAGGGAAAACCTGAGGGCTGTTCACATCTTGTGTTATAGGTGAGCAAAGATGAAACCACCCCAACATCTGTAAGGGACAGGCCTGCTGTTCCCATAACACAGGCGTTTCACATGTGGCTTGTTTCTGGAGCACATGCTGGGACTTGATGGTCTAGCCGAGACTCAGACTGGGAAGAAATTCAACCCTCTGTAGAGCATTGGTGTGTCTCTCTGAAGTACCTATTTTGAGGGTTACAAGAGGGATTTGAAAGGTGTTTTGCGCATCGAGACGGAATTGTGTCCACTGCTGATTGCTTTCTTGTGGTCCGTTCTCACGGACGTGTAGAGACGAAGCCACTGGGTTGTGTGCGGCACGGCTGCACGGGCTGCTCCTGGTGAGCTCCTTCTTGGCTGAGCCGCGGAGTTTGGCTGTTTGGGTTTGAGCAGAGCCTTGGGTGGAGGATGACGGGAGCTTGCCGGTGGGATCCTTGGAGCCTTGCTTGGACGGTGGACGAGTGGGGGCCTCTGTGGCCACTTACGGCTCAGCTCGAGCTGCTGCCTCAGCCTACACTACTGTCTCCTGGTTCTTGTCTCCTACTCAGCGGAGCTAAGGAAACGATCTGCAAATGTGTGTGTGTTAATGAACATCTCCCCCCTGAGCTGAAACGCTCCGCGCTTCCTTCGCTCCAGCTTGCCGCCAGCATTTCGCAGCAAGACGTCTGGGGAGGGCCAAGCCACTTCCCACCATCTGCTCTCCCGTCCTTTGGTAGCACAGAGCTACGGCGGGGGACGGGGACAAACGTGACACCCGCATCCGAACCCGCCGAGGGCAGAGAGCAGGCTGTGCCGCTCCTCGTCTCTCCCCACTGTAACCCCATCTACATCTAAACACAGATGAATTGGGGACCGGGACCCTCAGACACCCCAGGGGGGATTTTTTCAAATCAAACCTGCCAGTTCTGAGCTTTTGGTATCACTTAAGCCATGAAGTTCCTGGAGCCCCTTTCTGCCTTTGATCAGCTTTATATTCTGCATCTCCATAATTTGGGGAAATATAAGCTGCTTTTGGTGAACACCGTGGAGAGCCCCCCCATCGCCTGCAAACCCATCTGGGTCCCAGCGTCAGAAGCCACGTCAGGTTGCACGCTCCTAGA